GGCAAAAACATCCCAATTCCTTTCAACATTGCAGCTATGTTTCATCATTCCTAGCCTTGTTTTTACTGTTCTCTGGATGAATCCGGACTGTGGTGACCGTCACCAGCCTGCAAGCTCAGCCCGGGGCCCCACGCCGCGCCTGCTGGCCCGGCTCCCCGGCCCCGAAGGGCCGCCCACCCCGTGCAGTCCCCGGCCGCGCACTGACTTCTCTCTTCACACACTGCACTTCTGGTTTGTACTCTGTTTATGACAAAGGACGGTCCTTGGGTCGCTTCCTTTCATAATTATAGCTTGCTTTTTCTTTTTGTTTTTGTTTGCAAACCAATTTCGTATTTGTTCATACAAAAATTCCCACTAAGTGTTTCTTTCTGTGGCTACAGATGTTTATGATCTTGTTTTAAGTTTGGGTCATTCTGCTACCCACTGAATGATGACCAGGGCGTCTGTGGGGACTGAATTTCACCCTTCCCAGAGGCAGGATGAACAGAGAGAACTGGCAGGATTTCCACTGCATTACACTTAAAAAAAAAAAAAAAGTAGTTTATTAGCACTATTGATTACTGTTAGTAATCACTGCATAGAAAAGGAATATAAAATTGGGAGATAAAGAAATAGAAATAGATAAAATTAAGTTCCTTATGGTTATCAGCCACAACCCTTACCTCTCACTAACCTTTTTTTCTTTGTAGTGTTTGCTTCTTTTAATCCTGGATTTCTTGAGACTTGAGTAGAATTCTTATTTCAGTATAATCTTTACGATTAAGGTTTGAAAACTCCTCTTAGAGGATTGCTAGAGGGTTGGCTACCAGTTGCATTTGGGGGCACTGAGAGCTCTTAGAGCTGCATGTTATCCTTTGCAAACTGCAAGGAAAGCTCCCTCCTCCTCATCCTTGAATGCAACCACCTCTCAGCTTACTCGTTTGTGTCGTTTGTAGACCATCACATTCACCTGTCTCAGGTGTTGGAGTCAATGACTTTTAGCAAATCCAGGGCCGTGTAGACTTCAGCACAATCCAGTTCTAGACCGTTTCCTTCATCCCAAAGCAACCCCTTGTGCAAGTCACTCCCCACCCTCGCCTCCAGCCCCAGGCCGCTCACCGCTCATCTGCTCCCTGTCCCCACAGACCCGTCTTTTCTGCACATTTTGTGGAAGTACATAAAGTTCAACCACATTATAGCCCCTATTGGTAAGTACCTCATTCCTTTCTGGTGCTGAGTAGCGTCCCATGATAAGACCCACCACGTCTGCATATCCCTTCACCATCGGACATAGGAATTGTCTCCACTTTTCCGCGATTATACATCATGCTATTAAAGAACTTTCACACACAAGTCCTTGTGTGAATGTAGGTGTTCACGTCTCTTGGAAATTCTATGTCAGAGTAGAGTTGCTGGGTTGTGTGGTCAATCTATTTAATGTTTTTTTCTTAAGCCAACCTTTTCCAAGTGGCTGCACCGATTTGTATGCACTGACCAGCACACATGCATGAGAGTTCCTGCTCCCCTCCATTTGTTTTTTCAGACTAGTTACCCCCTTCCACAAAGCTTGATAGAAGCTAGAAGGCGGATTTCCAAAACATAACAAGCTTCCAATACAGCTGGATAACCCACCCTCATGATCTGCCCCCATTCTTCAATCAGATTTCACCTTGTTTCAACTTGTTACCCGGTTTCCTAAGGCTCAATTTGTTGACGCAACAATTTTTGTTTCCTCTCTCATGTTAATGTCCCCTACACGTGGCACTCATGTAACCTTCTGTAGAATTCATTCTTGTACGTATCTGTCTGCCCCAGCCAGGCAAGAATCTCTTTAGAGGGGAGATTTTTGTATCCAAAGAGGCTAGCATAAAACATGGCCTAAAGTGGGCATTAGAAAGTATTTGTTGAAGAAGTAGGTGAAACTGCAAGGTACACATTTGGTGCAAATATAGATTGATTTCCACAGCAGCCTGTTTTCCTTCCAAAGGGCCATATACTTCCCCAAGTTCCTGTTCATTGACAGTATGACAGGGAATCCTGGGGTTTAAAGAAATCTTGAAGGGAAGCCCACATCCCTGAGTTGATAGGGAACATCTGAGGCCTGGAGCCGTGAAGCAGGAGATGCTCCAGGTCATTACACGTGCTAGTCAGGGCTACTGAGCATTAACCCCCATCCTGGAGGAGGCCCCGTGAAATAGGGGGTGGACTCTAGTGTTGGGGACACAGGAAGAGTTGGGGACATGGGGCTGGGGCTGGTGTGTGGGTCTTGACCGTCAGGCCTGAACTACACTCTGTAGAGGACGGCGTGGAATCACCCACCAGCATTCTAGTCGATGAGCATGGGAGGGGACGGCCAGAGGCTGAGGACCAGCTGGGAGGCTGGACAGCAGTGTAAGGATGAAGCCAGGACGCAGGGCCCAGACATGGCGGGGCCTTTGTAAAGGGAACTAGGGCAGAGAGAAGCACTGGGCTGCGCTGTGTGGCCGACTGGGCCTGAAAGCCTGGGAAAGGGTGGTCTCAGTAATGGAGGTAAGAGAGACGGGACACAAGAGCAGGTCAGCTAGTCACGGGTGTCCTCTGGGGTCCTGGGGCAAAGAGCCTGTGGGGTCAGGTTGCTGGCTATGCACACACTGTTCCGTTCCGGGGTGGCTCTGCCGCACACTCACGAGTGGCCTCGGGCAAATGGCACAGTGACTCTAAGCCTCGGTTTCCTCATCTGTAAAACGGGCTACCAACCCTACCTTCTGGGGTAGCAGGAAGCACTGACTTAGGTGACACACTTAAGGCAGTTAGACCGGAGCCTGGTGGGCATGCAGCCAGCGATCGGCTGATGGTGGCCCTGGTTCCCCTGGGTTTGTAATTTACCTCTCCCCCGCATCACCCTTGGCTGGGGCAGCGTTCAGCTGGACCTCCGTGTTTGAAGTTCTAGATCAGGCGAGGAATAAATTATCTCATCTTTGGGAGTTTGTGGTAATGTTTTAAACTTACCCAATTGAAAGTTTCTTAAAGGAACTAGCATATTAAAAAATGCCATGTTCACAGAATTGTCCAGGTCTTAAATCAGTCATATCTGAAAAAATGATTTAGCTCCAATGTCTGCTGTGGTTTTCAAATGTCACCCATGGGGCCTTGGGTGATCTCAGGCGGGACTCTCGGGCTGCCCGGGGAGGGAGGGGCCAGCACTCCTGCCTCGTCTTGCCTAGAAAGACTCCCCTTTCAGTTGCCTTATGTTGCTGTGTTTCTCAGTAAGATAAATACGATTTCATTGGAAGAAAAGGGTTCACTATTGGGGAAAATTCTTGTAATTGAAATTGAACGCATATGCTAGATCAACAATGACGACCAAACGTTTGCATCTTCAAAGATGGAAATAAATTTTATATAAAACTTCACATTCTTTAATTGGCTAGACAAAGATACAAAACATAGTTTCTGGAGACTGAAAAAAGGAACAAGTTTCACAAGATACAAATGCTATACTTTTTCCACAGGGGAATAGTGTCATTTTGCATTTTTCCATCTGATATTGGTATCTACGCTAATATCTTGCATTCTCTTTGGAAAGAGTTGGGAAAAATGCAACTTGAACCTTGAGCAAGCATTTCATGCTGGTCTCTATCTGTTTAGGAAACAAAGTATTTCACAAAAGAACCACATTCCATGAAAAGTATGTTTGTTCTGGCTTAAACTTAATCATTTCCTCAGGAAGTCTGATTCAGATAAAGCATCTTAAGAAATTCAAAGTCACTTAGCTTGTAGCAACTGAATGTCATACTACTCTCTGAATTCCATGAAAATGTTTCAGAATTAATTCTGCCCTTTTCAGACTAGGCTTTGCAGCAGAAATATGTTATTAGTTTGCGGCTGCCGCTGCCTCTTAGATGTCAAAGCTAGTGATTCTCTGCATTTTAACGAACAATTTTTTGCACACACATCTATGCTTGTTTACAAAAGGTTCAGTTTTTACATGTGGACTTGGAGAGTATTTTGGGATTTTACACAAGTCCATGGGGAGGGGGAACATGGGGCAGAGAATGCAGACTTGGAGACCAGGCAAGCTAACTTCCTACCCCAGCTCCACTGCTTCCTTGGCCCTGTGAATTTCCACGGGTTACTTCCCTTCGCTGGGCCTTGGTTTACTCATCCAGAAAGTGGGAGCAATAGGGCCACAGAGCACTCATCAGGCGGTGACAGGAGTTAATACGCAGATATAAGCTGGAATAGCACCTGGTACACAGTAAGTGCTCAGTTAGCGTTAGCCATTATTCGCTATTCTTGGTTTCCCAGTGTAGTCAGGATATGCATTTGGTTTCATGGAATATTCTTGTTGGTAAAAAGTAGCGATGAAGACTATTAACAGATTAGCGCTCTTCACACAATTAGAATAGAGTCAATAAGATTCAGTTTAAAGACTCTGCTGGTTGTAAGTCCACTGACTTTTGGGGCTGAAAGGGCCTTGAAGAATGACTGGCTCAACACCTTTAGTCCGTGGCTGAAGGCCCCAAGGTTCCGGGGGGAGGAAGTCACTTGCGGAGAACCACCGGGCAAGGCAGAGAAGAGCCAAGGAGTGGTGGCTTCCTGCGGACAACAGTGCAGAGCCCGGGGCGGGGGTGGGGAGGGCGGGCAGCAAAGCCCGCATGGCGGCAAGCAATGACCATGGCACGGACCGGCCTGCGACAGAGCATCCTGGGCCGTCAGAGTGACAAAGAAAAACCTCTCCATGTTTGCAACTGTCACTATACAACGTAAACCTTTATGGGTAAGTAAACTGGCTTCGCTGTATCACCTCATGCTATCACTTACTGTACTGATAAACAGTGCTTACAACTGGGGTGTTTCTATGTGTTTTCATTTCAAATACCCCTTGAAAGACGTGGCTTAGTTAAAACTACAGTCTTAATACAAACAGCCTGGAGGATAAGACATAGGAAGGCCTGGCACCCCCAGCTTGCACCATAGGACAGTTTACAGCTTGGGCGGTGCACAGACAGGACACGCCGTAGGTAATCAAAGTTTTATTTTAAGTTACAGAATACTTAAAAATAAACAATAGAATTTCCTTGACTTTTTATTGTAACATAGAAAAAAGCTTTTAATTACACTTAAAACCTTCAAATTTGACCCCAAACAAGGTATGCGCTGCAGCCGGTCGAAGTGCTCGGACAAGCACGCTCTCCACAGGTGGCCAGGGTAGGAGGTAGGCTGCGGGCCTCCCTGCGGGAAGGTGGCTTTTTCCTATTCGGATTCACGGTGTTTTTTCTTGTTGTGGTTCTCAATCGCCCTTCTAAGCGCTTCGTCCTGCATGAGGTCGCACATTCTCACATCGGTGCGGCTACAGCCAATTTTGGGGCAACTGGAAGGGATTAAAACATTACGTCAGGTGACTTGACTTGAATGCCTTCTGCATAAACTTTTTCCCACACAGGTCCTTACACGAGGACGTTTTACCAGAAAATAGCATGTTTTAGACAGTGATGCGTGTGCATTCACGTGTTCGTGGAAGCCCACCTGCGCCGGGCCCTGTCCCAAGCCGGGGGCACAGGCAACGCCCACCCCGTGCCCACCCCCCGGCCCTCACTGTCCAGCGGGGGACACAGGTGCCATAAGTCACCAGGTAGATGCAGACTGGAAGTTCAGTTTGCGCCGTGTGCTACGAAGGCAAGGAAGGCGGTCGGGGGGCGGGGACAGGACGCCAGCCCGCTGAGGTCTCCTCCAGAGCAAGTGCCCTGTGTGACCGGGCTGGGCAGCGGCGCGGGTAGGAGCCCCGGAGGCGGCGGCCCGGTGGCCTGGAGAACGGACAGGTCAGGGTGACTGAAACCCCCAGGGCAAGAGGGAGGGCCGGCCCCTGGAGATGAGCCCAGAGGCTGAGCGGGTCTCTGGGTTCTCAACACGAAGGGAACACAGTGGGGGGTTTGAATACGGGGGTGGGAGGGGCGTGTGATTTGGTTGCCATTTAGAACACGGCTCTGGCTGCCTGGCAGAGAACACAGGCAGAGCGGACACAGGGACCACGGGGGACCCTGCAGCAGTCCCGGGGAGAGGGGCAGCTCGGGTGAGGGTGGCAGCCGCGATGAGCTCCAGGACAGAACCGAGAGTAGACCCCCCAGGACTTGCCGACGGATCAGGGTGAAAAGGAAGAGAAGAGCTTCATTCAGAGCTTGGCCTGAGCCGACTGGCAATGGCTGGCACCCTCCTTGGCCAGGCTGGGAAGGCATCGGGGTCTGGACAGGTACACGTTCCCTCTGAAATGCCCACCAGGACTCCCAGCGGAGAGGCCGAGTGGGGCCGATGGGGCCTCCAGCTGTGACCGGAGGTATCAGCGCGTGACTCATCCACATGGGGGTGGGGAGGAACTTGCACCCATGGCTGTTTAGATGTGGCCTTCTCTGAAGGCAGTGGGTTGGATGAAGTCACCTGATTTCTTCTCAAAATGAGCAAGACTTTGGTAGAGTGAGGCGCCCAATGTTTGGAGCCAAGCTGACCTAGGTCTGAATTCTGTCTCCACCGCCTACTCGCTAGTAGTTCTGAGGCCACAGGCAACTCATTTTACCTTTCTGAGACTCTGTTGCCTCCAATTTAAAATGGGGAAGACTTCCTGTTTCATGGGACTGCCGGCAACCCCTTGCTCAACATCACTGGTTCCCTTGTTGAGCTCCTGTGACTGTCATTTGTCCCTTGATCATCATTCTGATACATGTTAAAGCTGATGATCTCTCTGTCTTCATAGATCCCCCATGTGTGTGCACACTTTCCCGTGTTCCTCTGGTCTTTCTGTGTGACTTGTCCTGTGCTAGGTCCTGGGCATCCAACTGTGAAATGCAAATACAGTTCCTGCCCACACTCAGCTCTGGCCTAGTGATCCGAGACACCTCTCCAAATAGCACAGGCACAGCAAGACCAAAAACAACATACAAAACAGGATCAAAAATAACAAAGACAAGACAAAAGATATAACTGAGGAGGGGAAGACAGTTGATCACGGGAGCTCTCATTTGTCCAGTAGCAGGAAGTCTAACAGTTCAACACACAGGAGAAACTCACTTGGCCCTGATCTCTGGGTCAAGGTGACTTTATTTCCGAGGCACAGCGATCGCTGTAATGAACAACATGCTTGTTAACAGTATTTATTTTTAAAATACTAAAACGTGCCCCAGCTGGCCAGGGATGTGTGTTAAAATGCGATTCTCGCAAGGCCACTGTAAGAAAGGGGATCAGGAGGATGTGGCCCAGGTGCGCCTCCTCCTGATGACTGGACTTTGGCTTCCTGGCAGGGGTGCCCAGCCCCCGGGCCGCACGCGGCCCAACACAAAATCGCAAATTTACTTAAAACATGGTGAGACTTTTTTTTTGTTTTTGTTTATGTTGGCATATTTAATGCGGGGGCCAAGGCAACTCTTCCCTTCCAGTGTGGCCCAGTGCGGCCAAAAGGCTGGGCGCCCCCGGAGGAGGGACTGAAGGTGCCTGAGAAATGTCTTATACTTGTTCCAAACACCCTGATGCCTCCAAGTGAGTTAGTTCTTTAAGAATGAAACTAAACAGCTGCAAATATGGAAAGGACACGGACTCTTGTGACTTCAGAGGAGGCATTTTCCATCATTTCAACCTCTGTGACATGGAAGTGCAACTCGCAGTAGGTGGCCAAGATGACATATGCTGGGACGAGCCTCACTTACTATTTTTCAACCCACCCAACAACCACCCTGCCTGCTGGTCTGGCCTTGCTCTCTCCTCCTCCACAGAACAAAGGCCTCCCCACCGACAGGCAGACAGTGAATAAGCGGCGGACAGGGAAGTGGGGAGTGAGGTGGGGAGGGCTTCCTGGCGACATCAGTGGTTTTAGTTGGTGAGTGAGAGCATTCTGAAAACGTCTGGTGGGATGAACCGCACTGCTCAGCTGCAGAGCGGGCAGACACGCTCGTCAGGAAGGGACAGGGCCCAGGGTGACCCATGTCAGACAAAGAGGCCTGAGCTCACGTAGGGGTTAAGCTCTGGGGACAGAAGCATTAGCCAAAAGCCCGCCCAAGGGAAGCCAGGTGGCCTGGTGACACAAATACAGGCTCACGAGAGAAAAAGACCTGGCTCACACCTCCTGGCTGTGACACTGGGCAAGCGACCTGATTCTGGTGCCTCTGTTTCTTCTGCTAAGATGAAGGCCGAGCACAGGGTTCAGTGAGAAATAACAGGACGATGTGGAACGAGGGTCAAGGCACTCTCTCAGGTGCCACCGTGTGCGATTCCTGCTCAAGGACCTGCTCTGCACCCAGGAAGCTGGTGGAGAAGAGCCTGCCCTACCGTCACGCGGGGCCACATGGACTTGGCGTCCCTGGGAGCCTGGGGGAGGGGCATGTTGACAAGCGTGAGTGAGGGTTCAAGGCTTCCCAGAGGAGGGGTGGATGCAGGAGCTGGCAGAGAACCTTGTTTCTCACCCCATCTCAAGTAAACGAACACAGGTTTTCAAGCTACAAAGGTTGAGAAAAGGCTACCGTGACATGATGCCGAACCAGGACACCACTCCTCCAGGGCAGCAACACCACGTACCAGCAAAAAGGAGCGCCAGTCCCCGCACCACCCTGGTGAGCAGGTCGGGTGTGGCCGTGCCCAGTCTTAAGCTCTCAAGCTCTTGCGTCATTGCCATGCAGGAGCCAGACCTGCAGCCCTCGAAGGAGAGGCTGGGTCCTGGACTCGGGTCACCGACAGGGCAGAGCCTTCCACCGCAGCAGCCAGCCAGCACGAAAGTGTCTGCTGCACGAAGGGGGCGCGGGTCTCAGGGGTCCCAGGGGTCCCAGGAGGCAGTGGGGAACTTCAGCCTCAGCATCAGCCCAAAAGTATTAGATGGCGAGTCTTATGAGCTCCTGGATCTGAGTTCCAGCAATTCCAAGGCCCCTCCAGCTCCAGAAAGTTCTAGAAAGGGTCTATAGACCCCTCTGGAAATCTGAGTGGGATGGATTCCTATCATCAGGAAACACAGAGAGTAACTGTATCCTGTTGATGCCTCCTCTGAGTCTAGAACTGTGTCACTAAGTAGCAAGGTAAGTACTAGCAACACTAACAGTCTCCGGGGGAAGTAACCAGAGTGCTGCTTGTACCAAGAGGGCCTCCTCCTGAGTAGAGCGCCTCTCCATGGCCAAGACACCCGCTGGTCCAGAGGTTGTCTGGAATCCCCCACCATTTCCTGGATCTTGAGTTATGTGCCATGTTGCTATCTCCACCCCACAGATGAAGAAATAGGCTGTGAGAGGTTAAATGGCTTGCCAGTAAATCACAAAGCAGACAGCAGCACGCGCGGCGCCGACGTTCGGCTGCTCAGGTTCACTCTGTAGGCTCCTAAATGTGACTTTGTTAAACTCATGCAGGTTGTTAAACAAAAAAGGAAAGACGTGACTGTGGAACACTGGTAATATCTTATTAATATAAACATCACAAGACAGCTTTCTTAGGAAGATAATAAATAGCCTGACTATTAAGAGAGATATTTCAGGAAATCATTCTAACTACTGTATTTAGTTAGGGCTAATGTCTCAACAATTTTATTCTGACAGATGAATGGAGAGAGGGCTTCCCAGAGACTGAAGCAGGGGCAGTAGGCGTTAGTCAGTGCCTGGGAACATAAAGGACCTGGAACTCCGGTCTAATGAGCACAATGAGAACAATCTAGCAGGAAGAACTGAGGTTTCTCAAGCTGGATGTGTCACAGACATTTTTAAACAAAGGGAAGCCAGGGCTGCTCATCACACGCATGTGCATCAAGGGAAATGACACGCCCTCGCGCTTCATCAGGAGCCTCTGAGGCGCGCCGGCCGTGAAGAGGCCCCGAGTCCCACCCGCCGCCAACTCCCCGCCGTCGCGGGACCCAGCCCACCCCCTCGCGGCTCCCACTTCACTCATCTCTTTTCTCTCCCCTCGCTTTCCTGACCACGTCTCAGGTGGCTTCGCAGGGGCCTTGCCCCTCCGACTGCCCTTTGACTCATGAGGGTCTAGCTCAGGCCCGGGGTCAAGTGCTGAAGGCAGCCTGTGGGCAGAGCAGAGCCAAGCCTGGCCCTGTCCTCGTGGCCCTCAGGAGGCAGTCACAGCAGTGTCTGACTCCTCGGCGCCCCTGGCCTCACAATCAACATCTCGAGCTCAGTGCTCTCGCTCAAGTTCGGAAATCCACATGTACACGTCCCCAGGACACTTCCAAATGGCTGTACTGCGGAGCCCTCCAATTTAATAGGAACTGCTTGTGTTCCCCTCTGCTGCCTAACGACATCTCCATCCTTTGAGACGCCCACTTAAAAATGCCAGCCCTCCTTCACTTCTCTTCAGCATTCAGTTCCCAATTCTGATCATTTTTCCTCTGCAATCACTCTTCTTTCCCTTCCTTCCTCGGCCCCTATGACTCTTGCCTCGATCCCAGCTCTCATTATTTATAATTTAATCTACTACAAAAGCACCCAGTGCACATTTCACCACATGCCTTTGCAATCCATCCTGTGATCTGCTATTGGAAGAAGTTCCTAAACGCCCGGTTGGCCCACCTTACTCCCTCAAAATGCTCTCTCACGCCTAGAAATAGAACAAAGGTGGCAAAAATGACGACGACGACGACGATGACGATGGTGGCAGTGGTATGATGATGTGTACTGAGTCTGACCATGTGCTGGTCACTGTAAACACTTTATATGCATCTTATTCAAATTTGAAACATACCAATGAGGCAATTACAACTATTAGCACCTACTTACAGATGAGAAAACTAACAAAACCATGACATTTAACACCCTCAAAAATGAACCCTTGTACCCCTCTCCTATTGTTATTGTGCATCCTCCTTCTATTGTCCCTGCAACATACAGTAACGGATGCAGCACCTACGGTCCCCACGTGGGCAGGCTGTGAGCGGGGCACGCCTTGGGGCCAGAAAGATTCTCTCTTTACCCCTCTCTGAAATCTTTCTCATGTTTTAAGGCCCAGGAAAAATATCACCTTCTTCATAAACATCCCAGACTTCTTCCGCTTGGACTTTGTGGTTGTTATGATGCTCTGATACCCTGCAGAGTTGGCAGAATCTGCACCCAAGTTATAGAAGTATGAGAAAAAAGATTTTTTTTTTTTCTTAAATGGGACGTGTTACTCAGGTGCTTCCAGAAAAGGCCCAGGACATTAGAAAGTCACAGTGCATAATTTGGAAGACCCACTGGAAGGTGACGTGGGTTCCAGGAGCTGGCTGGGAGGAGTGCGCTGTGTATGAGCAGCCGCTGCCCCTGCCAAAGCTGACTCTGGGAGAAGCCCACCCACTTTAAGAAAGAAGAGCTGGAGACAGAACTATCTGGGATACCTATTCCTAGCAATTACATGAAAAAAATGAACATTTTGCTTTTCAGAGAATGAACAGAAAAAAAATGTTAGTAGAAAAGAAAGGCTGAGTAATATAGAAACAAAGAAAACTGTATGTACAGGAGGAGAGGGGAGGTTCACTAGGGAAATGGGACATCTCAGCTCTAAGTTGGAAACTCAAGACAGATAAAAACGTACTCCGGCACTCTCTGCTTTGCAACGAGTAGGCTGCTCTTCTGGAATAACTAGGGTAAATTACTTGACTGAATGACCATCAAGATATCTCCAGCCTCGAACGCCCAATCTGTGGGCCCACGCCCAGACGAGGAGTGGTGGGGAATGCCAGCCCCAGGTCTGCGCCAGCACATTTCGGGGGCCCTGGAGAAGCTAAGCACACATCAAAGGGGCTGTTATCAGAAGTCCCTGGAGGGCTGGCCACACCTGCAACTCCATTCCTCACGGTAATTCCAAATCCATGATAAGAGCATAATACCTAAGGAACTCAGTCTGGCCAGCTCCGGGGTGTGTGTTGGGGCAGGGGTAGGGCCACGAAGGTGGTCTGAGAATGTCTGTATAAAAGAGCCTCCAAACGTTCCAGTTTAAAAAAACAGTAATAATTTCTCATTGATCAATCACCCGCGAATTTGCTAAAATCTTTGGGGATGTTATTGAAGTAATTAAAGAAATGAAAGATTTCCTGTCTTTCTCTCTTAGTATCACAGCTTCTTTAATTTTTTTCAGGCTCTAGCACAGATTCATAAAAATTCCTCTTGTCTAATGATGAAAATTCAACCCCGTTCCCTTTTCTCCTACTTTAAAAAGGTGGGGTGGAAATTCCTTCAGCTTGTCCCGAGATGACGCATTTCTTCCTCATGCATTGTCTTGCTAGAAAGCCAGCTTCCACGCTTAGGCCATCTGGGAGGTAACTGCACTTTAGGGGAGACACTGAAGTGGCTTTTCCTCCAGCCTCGGACACACTGCCTGTGCCCGCCACGCCCTGGAAGGCTCCACCCCCTCCTGGACACACTCACCAGGCCTTTTTCTTGCGTCTGTGCTTGGACTCAATCATTCGAACAATGGCTTCCTCTTCATAGCTGTGGCCACACACTCTATTTTTCACTGGCTTCTTCATTTCCAACTGCAATCAAGGAGACATTAGTCTTTCAGTGATGCTAAGGATCCACTTCCAGTAACTTAAGTCACCGATTGCTGGGTGCTAGTCCCAGGGCTTTCTGTGTTTAAGCTCCCTGTCTTGTGGCTTTAAATGATCAGGACAGGTGACCACCGAAGAAACAGCAGGGAGGCCAGGGGTAGCCATGCCACTTGGCCTGTGGGCCAGGAATTTATTCCTCCATGGGCAGGACTGATGAACACTCTCCAGCCCAAGGACCTCCTGTGTATAGACTCTTCAACCCTCATTGCTCCTCCCTCCTTAACTACGGCCAGGGAATCCAGTCCGAAAGCAAATAGGAGCCCTTTGCCGCTGTGAAGCGACTTGTCTCTCCGGGGAGGAAGGAGGACACAGTACCTGCGTAATGGGGCAGATGAAGTTGGTCTGACTCTGGGTCACAATCATATCTTCATCCACGCCTTCTGATCCATCAGCCTCTCCGTCTGCCTGAAGACCATCTAGGGGAGAAAAGGATGTGGCTGAACCTCCCGAGTCTGACGTGTGGGGAACGGGAAGCAATGGAGGGGAGGTTAACAGTTGCTCAGTGTATTTGGTGTTAGCCCCTGGCTACGCACTTGGATGAGCATTGGCCCTTCTGCTCTGGAAAGAACCCCGCAGGGTGGGTAGGACTCTGCTCACTTCTGATGAGGAAACAGACTCCGAGCACCTTTTCAGAGTCAGAGAGAGTTACTTTGTGAGGAGGGCTGTCCCGCAATCAAGAGCATAATCAAGAGCGAGGCTATGGTGTCAGAAGGACCTGCTAGCCTCTTTCACTTCCAGCTGGGAAGCCTTGGGCTAGCGAGGTCATTTTTTAAAGCTCTGCGCTACGGCTTTGTCACAAAATTTCACACGGGTGGAGAACGCCGTGTGCTCTGCGTGGTCCCAGGCACGAGGAAACGTTCAGTAAACGGTAACGGCTGTTAGGTGGCGCCCAGGCTCTCTAACGTTTTGGTCTCAGGACCCTTTATTCTTTTAGATATTATTGAGGTCCCCAAAGCACTTTTAAAATGTGGATTATATCTATCTACATTGCCATGGTAGACATTAAGATGGAAGAATTTTTAAAATGTATTTACTAAGTTACCTAAAAATAACCCCATTACATGTTAACATTAATGACATTAAAAAAAATTAAAAAACAATTATATTTTCCAGAAGAAAAATAAGTTAGCGATAAGAGTGGCAATGTTTCACATGTTTGAAAATCTCTTTAACGTCTGGCCTCACAGAAGACAGTGGGATTGGGGTATCTGTGTATGCGTCCCATCCGCTGAGATACTACGTCATGTCTGGGAAGAAATCACTTTTGAAAAGAAAGACAAAAAGGCAAATGACAGCTTGGTATTATCATGGACCTAGTTTTGACCTCATGGCCACCCTGAAAGGCTCTCAGAGCACCCCAGGGCTTCGGGGTCGCGCTCGGAGAACGACCGAGTGCATCAGTGGCAGGACTAGCTTGGATCCAGCTTATTTGACTCTGAAATCTAAATTCTTTCCATTCCATCCCCCTTGCCTCTCACTACTGAGGGAAAACAGACGACAGGTGACTTTTGATGGGGCGATGAGAGTGAGGCTCTCATAGGGAAGCCTTTCTTTCTGGAAAAGGCAAACTTGTCAGAGCCTTTGAACTGCTGATGGTACAGTCCTCCCTGCTTCCTCCTTCTCCCAACTTCTCTCATCTTCCTTTTCTTCCTTCTTTCATTTTGGCAAAATAACATGGCCATTAAAAGTCACTGTGCTTTGGCCGTGTGAGGGAAGCCCGTGTCTTGGTTTGGATGGCTCTGTGTACCTTCAGTTCCCGGAACTGATGGCCCTGGCCTTCCACCTGGGCCAGACGCAGAGTCTGTCTAGAAAAGTACAACTGGGGGCAGGAAAAGGGCCACAGGGCCTTTGTTCGAGGTCACCTAGGGAACCGATGGCTAGAACCCAGAGGTTCTGCCCTCGGTGACTCTGCCTTGTGTCGGGGGTGCACCATACAACAGTGTGGTGCATTTTCTGAGAGAAACACCCTTCAGAGCAGCTTTGACTCTGTGAAGAAGGTGAGCCTGCTGACGCGGGGCCTAGGACTTCCAGGGAAAGCGTTTTTAACCAAGGGCCATTGCGGGATGGGGCCTGGGGTCTTCCCGCTGTTCGAGGGCCTGTGCAAAAGTCTGAGGCCTTGAAAGCCATTTATTGGCTTCAAATAGGAGAACCACAAAATTGAATTAGTAAGTGTTTAAGGTCAACAAAATGTAATGTTAGGTTAACTTTGTTCACTGTTGACGTGGTAATCAAAAGTATTTCTTTCGGAAACAGTATGTAGGCTGGATTTAGGGTTTAATGTAGTAATTCTCAAATGTGCTAAGAAAATCGCGGATAAATTAACAGCCAATTAAAAGTTAAACCAACTACTTGTGGCCAACCTATTTCCAAAGAAAAACTGTAAAAATATTTTCAAAGCTATTCTGGCAGGAATAAAATTATAGTGAATATGGAGGCTGCCATATTTTAGTGCGTTTGTTATGATGTAGGGAGGGGACTCTGAAGTAGTTATGAAGGGTCTTTGTGCCTCCCAGGACCTGTCTTTGGTATTCACAGGGCAAGCGTCCAGACTCCTCAAAGAGTTCTTTGTCCACCCAGTGATTCCTCACAAGGGCCCAGGAAAGTAGGGCGGGCCAGGGGGAAACTCAGGAGCAGAGCTGGGAGCGCTCTCTCTGACGGACTTCCCAAGCCTCCTCCTGTGGGCTGCCGCTGCCCGTTTCTGATTGGTGTCGCACAGCCCAGATAAGAGCGTCTCTGTGTCCACTTCTCATGGGGCTTATTCGGAACCAGCGGCAGATTTCTGACTGTCTGTGTTACACTGTGGAATTCACCGGAAAATCTGTCAGTGGAACAACAGAGTTCAGCCAACGTGAAAGGCCGTGGGTTTATTTTTTATTTTTAAATTTCAAAAGGCAGAGGAAGCAAGAAAGCACAAGCCAAGTGCAGCGCCAACCGCGAGGGAAGCTGGAGTGGGGAACTCGCACTGGAGGTGGCTATCAGCATCAGCTATCACGGAAGGCAGAGGCTTATTAACGAAAGGAAGGCTGAGGAGGACAGCCAAGAGCAGGAGCCCACAGACCGAGAGTCTAAAAAGAGAAAGAGTCTCCGCAGCTAAACTTCTCTTGAGATAGAACATTTCCTCATCCAAAAACCTGTATATTTAGAAAGTGGTATTAACATTGGGATTCTACATTGTGCTAACAAAAGGTCACGTCTGGCAATAAAATCACTTACATGAATTTAGCTGACCCAAAGACAAGTTTCTGATTAGCCTGGTAAAAGGAAATTAGAGGAAAAAAACATATAGGGTCCCGTACAAATAACGACCCCTTTTTATTATTAAATCTTTAAGATCATCAAGATGTAATTCAGTAACATAGTATCACACTCGAGCACACCATGGCATTTTACATGAAATGTTCAAATTAAAACTTTAAATTATTACACCCATATTATTACCCTACCAACCACAGTCAAGCAGGCCTTACTTCTGCTGGACCCTGTAGATCAAATCAGGCAGGGATTTAGTTGATTGATGTATGGCTCTATTTTCTTGGCCTGGTGCATTTGAATACTAAAACCAGTCTACTGGTTCTGCGAGCCATTCCCCCTGCCAATTTATTATTTTATTAACAATAATAGCTCAAGTTTACTGAATGATACACAGCAGCTATTGTGCTACACACATTATATACATTGTTCCATTTAATCCTCACAAAATACTCATGAAAAACAACTCTGCTGTTTCCCATTGTATAGAAAAGAAAACTTCGGCCCCTCCAATATTTTTAAGGCAAAGGTAGAAAACATCAGTATTATAATAAAGAAATAACTGGGTTGTATTCGTTTAATGTTATTAAAGGGATCTCAAAATTTTGCTGATTACGAAGAGAAAACAAGACCACTGGTCGCGTTGCCTGCCATGAACATTTCGGGCGATGCGTTGTCGGGTGCCTGCCACTGTGAACCCGAGCAGCAGGCGCCTTATGTCCACGCGTGGGCCCAGGGTGCCCTAGTGAGGTGTGGAGGAGAGAAGCCTGAACAGACACTAAAATTTACAGAGTCCCCACGAGGGATGTTAGTAACTTGGATGGGATTTGTCTGAAGTCATAAACTGAACACCCAAAAGGAGAATCATGGAAATGTTCGAAGGAGGATTCGGCGAACAGTTGATTCCAAAAGTCTATGAACATCCCCCAGTGCCGTGAATCTGGGGGTGGGTGGTGAGGGCATTTATGGACTCCCAGTCGTGGGTTCACGGTTAGTCAGTTACGACTGCTGATGAAGAGCTACAGAGCTCTGCCTCCAGCCTTTCTCATCTTAGTCATCTTCCTCGTGGCTCAAGCCAAAAACTTTGGAATCATTCCTGGCTATTCCTCTCACCCAATGCATCGGCAAGTTCTGTGGGCTGGCTCTAAGCTAAACTCCCTAATTTAAGTCTAGACCCTTCTCTCGACGACCGGCCGCTCCATCTTAGCCTGACGTTTGGGCCTTTACACTAACCTGTCTGGAATGTTCTTCCTCATGATCTTTGCGAGTCCTACTCCTTGTCATTTTAAAATGTCAGTTTAAATGTCATCTCTTTGGAGGGGCCTCCTCGGATGCCCCAAGCTAAAGAAGACACCCAGGCATTCTCTGTCACATTACTCTGTTGTGACTCTCTGCAGCGCAATTATCTGTGCATGGAGGTATTTTCTTGCCTGTCCCCTTCCCTTCCCTCCTTTCCCCTCCCTTGTTCTCTTCCGGAGTCTGTGTGGTCTTGTTCCCTGAAGTTCCTTAGAGTCTAAAGTGCCCTTGGCACACAGTAGTAGGCATTCAATAAACATCAGACTTAGTGAAGGGATTTATCCAACGAGGCAGGAGTGGGCATATTTGTCCTCAGGGTACATGTAACATGTTCAACAGATGTAGCAACACAATCACCACGCCCTCACACAATAATGATTTTATGGATTTTCAGCAAACAACAGAGGAGTTCACTCCAGCTTGGGGTGCAGTCGTGGACCCTGAATTACATGTCCAAGGCAGGAAGTAAATACAAGTTTTACAATTACAGTAGGCCATGTGGTAATTACAAAGGAGACTCTAGATATGGCCTTGTGGTCAGAAAATACACTTGGTCGTGGCCACACACAGCTCTAGTATTAGTCATTTGTCTGTCTTCAGGCACCCAAATTTGGCCACCACTTGGATGGTTTCAGGCTAGCTGAGGATAAAAGCCGATTGCTCTGTGCTTTCTCATTAAGCCTGAACATTTTCCTCCAAGCACCTTTCTCTTAAAGAGTTAGCAGCATAGGAAGAAAATGCTTCACAATTATTTGTTGCCTGCTTGAGATGCTCACTGAGCCGTCCAGATTATTTTGCTTGCGTTATTCTAAAACCGCTGATTTGAAGAGGCTGAGCTGTACACAGGAGGTTTGGGGGCCCCCCTGCTGTG